AAGTTCATTACAAGACTATAAGGATGCTAATTTCAAGTCTAAACAAGAGTTTAGACCAAACATGAAACTTATTGAAATTTCGATCTTGCATAAACATAGGATTAGAGTTAGAAGACATACCTTGTGTGTTGAAAAGTGAATAAAGGTTGCAAGAGCAAGTAAATTCCAATTTAGAGTTATGAACAGTAAAAGTTTTGAAATCAAAACTCTTAGAGTTCCTCTAATGGAGTTTAGGGTTTTGGAGAAGAAAGAGAGGTTCTTGTGGTTTTCAAGGGAAAGGTGAAGTAAATAAGATCTAAATCCTATCAATTTTCCTTTTCAAATTCGAATTTTGATTGAAAACCGGTTTAAGTTGGTTTAGAATTGGTTAAAACCGGTTTGAATTAAATGAAAAGGGGACTTACCTTGGCCTAGAAAAGTTTTGGGCCGATGGCCGATGGATTTTGTCGCGGTCGAGCGATTTGGTCGGCCAAATTTTGTTTTGGCGAGAGATTTCGGCCGAGGCCGAGTTTGTTTCCCGGATCGACCGGCGGTCGGTCCGTTCCGATACAAAATCGGCCGATCGCGGCCTATTCTTCCCGGTTCGTGCGTGCGCGCGAACGTTTTGTCGCGCGATGAAATCCGGCCGAGCACGGCTATTCCTTCCCGGCTCGACCGTGACGGTCGGCCCGGTTGGAAATTGCTCGGCCAAAATTTCTTTGCGCGTCCGCGGCCAATGTTTGGCGCGGATTGTGTTTTCACACCTTTTTCTCCTTCTATCCTATCTTAAAACAAAGAAAACACAAAAGCAAAACAAAAACTAAGAAAATTAAAGAAAGAAAAGTAAAAGTACCTCATGGGTTGCCTCCCATGCAGCGCTTGTTTTAAGTCTTTAGCTTGACTGTAAGGCTTGGCGCTCAGGAGAAGATGGAGACAAGAGGCATCTTTGATCCTCCAAGTCTTTTCTCCTTGCAATGAGTATCTGGTGGGTGATTCACAGCTGGATAGACAATCTCTCCATGAATGTCCCTTGGCACTACTGCCTTAGGAAAAAGCTTTAGAGTTCTTGTCACTCTCTCCTTGAATCCTTCTAGATTCTCATCAATAAGCTCCTTTGGGAATAGAAGCTTCATGTTGCGGCCAGACCTAGGCTTTCTAACCTTCCTTCTTGGCTTGGCCTCATCTTCAATCTTGGTTGATCCCTTGGGCGGTTTTGGTGTAGGGGCCTTAGTCTTACTCCTTGCTTGTTTGGCAAGCTGCTTGGGCTTAGGAATGGGATCTTCCTTGATTGTTTCTTCAGTTTCTCCTTCTTGGGGTGGCTTCAAAGTAACTTTCTCCTCTTGGACCATGTCAACAAAAGAGTTCTTTGTTGAACACATAGGGAAGAACATACCCTTGTTCACCTTGTTGAAAGAGATTCTTTGATTGGGGAAATCAAATATGGCACCCACAGTAGACAGGAAAGGGGTTCCAAATATGAGAGGTCTATGGCTACTCTCTCTCATTTCCACAATCTGGAAATCAGTGGGATAGAGCAATTTCCAATCTGCACCATCACATTAGGCACAAAGCCATAGGGGTTTGTGAGAATGAATCAGCATAGTTGATGGAGATGGATGATGGCTCTATCTTGGTGAGGCCTATCTTGTCAGCTATCCTCTTAGACATGATGTTCACATTGGCTCCTGTGTCACACAAAGATTGCTCAAGAATGTTACCTTTGATGATACAAGGCACAGCAAACTTTCCTGAGTTATCTGTCTTGGGGATAATCTTTGGGAAGAGTCTTCTCTTTCTAGCTCGATTGGACTCTCTCTCTGGGTAATTCTCTTCAGGCCAAATCATGCAATCAACAGTAGGTTTTGAAAGCATCCATTCTGGAACTTGGTCTTCAAATCTTTCTTCTATGGCGGCTGAGTTGCAAAAGGACTTCTTGGATTCAGCTTCCTGTCTCTTAACAGCTTCCATAGTTTGAGTGACTTGAGTCTCTAGTTTCTTCACATGAGTGGCAACAGCATCATACTTGGTGTTGAGATTGCTGAACAAAGTGTCCATCTTCTCATACATCTCTTTAGTGTTTCTCTTCTGGCCATCCATGATCTGTTGGAGGATTCCTTCAAATCTCCCACCTTGTTGGTTTGGAGGAGCTTGATTTGGTGAAGAAGCATATGGCTCCTTGGGCGGATATGATGATCTCTGCTCATATCCTTGCCTTGGCTGAAATTGACTTCCTTGAGATTGGTAAGGAGGTCTTTGTTGTTGTGGATACCTTGGAGGATACACTTGGTCTTGAGGATTCTCCACATTGGGGTTTCTATAAGACATGTTGGGATTTGGGCGATAGCTTGGATTGTATCCCTTGTTCCCATAGTTTCCAATGTAGTTCACATCTTCTTCATTGGCTTCATTAGAGAAATCTCCCATGCATTCTCTTGATGAATCTTCATTAGCATCACTCATCCCTTCTATTGCATTGATATGCTTGAGCTGTCCCTTAAGAACTTGAGCCATCATGTTCTTGAGTTCAGTCATTTGAAAAGAATCAGGGGAGCTAGTAGTGGTGCGGCTTGAGCGGTCATAATCAGGACAGTTGTTACAATCACTAGCTGCAAGATTCTCAATAAGAACCTTAGCTTCATCAACAGTCTTGGTCATGAAGTTTCCATTGCTTGCTGTGTCCAATGAAAGCTTGTACTTGTGGTCAATGCCACGATAGAAGATGTTCCATAGGTTTCCCTCATTGAAACCATGATTAGGGCAGTCCCTAATGTACTCCTTGAATCGATCTAGCGCCTCATAGAAAGACTCATTGTTGCCTTGGCGAAAGTGGAGATCTTGTTTCTCACAGAAATTGATCTCTGTTTGGTGTAGAAGTGGTTGATGAATGCAGCCTTGTACTCATCCCAAGTGGTGATGGAGTGAGCTGGCAGAGACTTCAACCATCTTGAAGCTTTGTCGCCAAGAGAGAATGAAAAGAGCTTGCACTTAAGGTAGTCAGCAGAGACTCCATTGGATCTTGTAGTGCTGCAAATTTCTTCAAAGTTTTCTATGTGATCAAGAGGGTGCTCAGCTGGAAGTCCATTGAATTGGTTCTGTCTAACCAATGCAATGATCTGAGGCTTGATCTCATAGTCATTCCTTGCAGGAGGTGGTGGATGGATAGGGTTTCTATCCATGAAGAAAGCATCGGCAGAGTCATAGTCTCCGATTGTAGGTGCTCCAGCTTGGGGTTGTGCGTTCACATCTCCAGCAGGGTCTTGTGGATTAGGAGGAGGAGGAGGTGGATCTCTTCCTTCTTCTTGAGCGCGCGCCACTTCAGCGGCGTGAGCGCGAGCTGCTTCGTCGGCCATCTCTTGGGCTTTCTGCTTCCTAAGTTGCTTCTCAAGCTTGTCTATCTCTGGATGTTCAACTAGGTTGTCCTTGTTGGACCTCCTAGTCATGCACCTGAAAAGAGTCTTGGAAACAAGTTAAACTAAAAGGGAAAAACAAAAACAAAAGTAAAAATCAAAGAAAAGGAAATCAAAAACTGAAAATTCAAAAGCAAAAGAAAAGTAAAACAGGAAAAGGTTCTAGACTAGATCCTAGTCGAGTTCCAAAGGTACTGCTGCAGTCCCCGGCAACGGCGCCAAAAACTTGATGCGGAGTCAGGTTTTACCAAACTCCTAGACCTCTGCAAGTGCACAGATCGCGGAAGTATGGGTATCGAACACAAGGACTGGCTATTGAGTACACTTTGTAACTATGGATTTTGGATCAAGCTAAAACAAAAGTATGATTGAGGTTGTAATGGTGAACCGAACTAGCAAGTATAACGAGGTTGTAAGCAATAAAGGAAAAGCGCTAGGTCATAGGGGCTATCGCAGAGAAGCAAGCAATGATCAATGAAACAATGATAGATTAATTGATTAGGGATATTGGGATATTAAGAACCATCTAGAACACAGATCACGAATATAAAACCATTCCACTTTCGAGGCTCCGGCTCCTTTGCTAATCTACCTAGTCGCTAAACTTTTGGTATGTCCCTAGGTGATTAGATCAAGCATTAGAATGAATAGGTTCTGATACAGTTCACTAGATATAGATAGATCAACTTTCGCAGTCTAAGAAACCTAGCTTGTCAAAGAATATGTCCGGCGAATGATACAGCACTGTCGAGGCTCAAATCAACCTAAGATCGGATTACTAGATGCGCGGTAAAGCAATCAGCATTAGTTAAGTGCACAAGACGAGACAAAGACTCTAATATAATCCCTAGCTAATCATTGAAATCAAAGATCATGCAAGCAACTCATTGAATAGTAACCCTAGCAACCTAACTAGTGGATTACTCAGACATGATCAAAGCAAACACACATAGAGATGAAGAAAACATGATTGCAATAAAACTTAGAGTAGGAAATCGAAATACAGGGCGGCTCTCTTTCTCAAGAGGCTAAAAATCCATATATATAGTGCTAGGTCTTTCTAGAGGCGGCTAGGGTTAAGCCGGGCTTGAAAACATAAGTTTGGGCTTCAAAAAGGGCTTCGGGTCGACCGCGGCGTTGGGACGGTCGTGCGGGACGATCGGCCGGACAATCGGGTTGTGGCCGAGTCGGAACGGTCGGGGTCGGACGGATTCACGGTCGGTCGGCGTGGTCGAGCGGATAGATTTGGCCGATGAAATTCTCGGCCGGACGCGGGACGTTCTTTCCCGGGTCGGACGGAGCGTTCGTGCGCGGTACTGAAGCGAGTTGCGCGGCCGCGAGGCTTACTTCCCGGCTCGCGCGCTTTGGTCGTGCGCGGTTGAGTCGTGGCCGACCGCGTCGTGTGCGTGATCGGCCGAGTGGTTTTGGACTTTGGCCGAGACTTCAGTCGGACGGACGAGTTTGGCCGAGCGCGGAACATTCGTTCCTCGGCCAGCCGGACTGCGCGGTTTGGGCGCTGATTCTCGATAGAGCCGTCTGGAGCAGTCTTCACTCTTTTGGTATAACTCCTTTTCTACTCATCCAAATGAGCCATTCCAATTGCGTTGGAAAGTTAACTCAATCAGAGCACGCAGGGAACTGGTCTTGATGAAATCCATTGAGTAGATCTTTTTCTGGGCCCTCTTAAAGTTGGTGCTTGTGCATGGAGCTGCTTGAAGTGCAAATCCTATGGTTTTGCTCCAAAATGCATCATTTCACCTGTTTAGACTCTAGACACTATAAACACAGTAAAACTACCTTTTTAGATAGAAAACCTGCCAAAAACCATTAGAAAACAATGCTAAAACAGTATAAAAAGTGGGTAAATTAGAGGTATATCAACCACCTAGAGGCTATCATGAGTTGGAAACAGAAGAGAATTTAAGTGGTGCACCTTTGCCTATCCAAGAACTTGATGATTTGGATGATGAAGCTTGTGATGATGATAGTGTTTATGTTAGGGATGATTGTGAAGGCTTGTTAGTGGTAGATTGATAGGTGTGTGATTTTTGTAAACAATAAAATTTGTTATGGTTTTCGAAACATTTAAATATTTATATATTTTGTATTAATTTAAATTTAAAAACAAAATAATAACACGAAACATTTGCTATCTTTGCTATCCGTAAATTCAAATTAATGAGTTTTAATAACATTTGGATCATGTTATTATAAATATTAACAATTGCACAGCAGACAAAGCTATCGTTGTATAGTTATCTATAGCACACCAAAAATCCGCTATTAAAAGTGTCTGACCTATTATAACGGGCGATGTCAGAGCATTTTAGGAAACGCTATATTTTTGAACTCATAGCATTTAACGGCCGCTATTAATACCCACATTTCCTGTAGTGATTCAAAGTAAAGGAAATTAAAAGAAAGAAAATGAAAAGAAATGACCTTCAATGGGTTGCCTCCCATTCAGCGCTTTGTTTAAAGTCTTTAGCTTGACTGTATGGCACTTCCTTAAGGATCTGGTGGATCGCCAAGAGCCAGTGTGGTCTCCTGTGGTATGGTGGTGGAGGCTAGGTAGGTTTTAACCTTTGTCCATTGACTGTAAAGTCTCCTCCCATTGGGTCCCAAGTACCACTGCTCCATAGGGGCGAACTTCTTTAATCCTGAATGGTCCTGACCATCTTGAGCGAAGCTTTCCTGGAAAGAGTTTCAACCTTGAGTTGAATAGTAGAACTTGGTCGTTTGGCGCAAAGTTCTTTGGGATGATCTTGCGGTCATGGAAAGCTTTGGTTCTCTCCTTATAGATCTTTGAATTCTCATAAGCCAGATGCCTAATCTCATCAAGCTCATTCAGCTGAATCAATCTTCTTTCTCCTGCTGTCTTTAGGTTGAAGTTCAACTCCTTAATAGCCCAAGCTGCTTTGTACTCCAGCTCTACAGGTAAATGACATGCTTTACCATAGACAAGATGAAAGGGGGTGGTACCAAGTGGTGTTTTGAAGGCAGTGCGTATGCCCATAGAGCATCATCTAGTTTGGCACTCCAATCCTTTCTTGTCTTGCCTGTTGTCTTCTGAAGTATGCTCTTGAGTTCTCTGTTTGAGATCTCAACTTGTCCACTAGTTTGGTGGTAAGGAGAGGCAACTTTGTGAGTAACTCCATGCTTCTTCAAAAGGTTGGCAAAGATTCTGTTATGAAATGTGAACCTCCATCACTTATGACTATCCTAGGCACTCCAAACCTTGGAAAAATGATGGATTTAAACATCTTGATGACCACTTGTGCGTCATTAGTAGGGCTGGCAATGGCTTCCACCCATTTGGAGACATAATCAACTGCCACTAGAATGTATTGGTCACCAAAAGAGGTTGGGAAAGGTCCCATAAAGTCAATGCCCCAAACATCAAAAACTTCAACTTCTAGTATAAAGTTCTGTGGCATCTCATTCCTCTTGCTTATATTTCCCATTCTTTGGCAAGCATCACATCTTGATATGAATGCATGAGCATCCTTAAACATAGTTGGCCACCAAAATCCAGCTTGTAGGACCTTGGATACTGTCTTGTAAGTGGCAAAGTGCCTGCATAGCTAGAACTATGACAAGCAAACAATATTCCTTCTACCTCTTCCTCTGGTATGCATCTTCTAAACATTCCATCTGAACATTTCTTGTATAAGTAAGGTTCATCCCAGTAGTACCTTCTTACATCACGCAGAAATTTCTTCTTTCTGTAGCCAAAGAAGTTTGGTGGTGGGTATTCAGCTGCAAGGAAGTTTGCTATGTGGCGAAACCATGGTGTGTTTGATGATGAGATCTTTGTTCCTGGCCTGTGATGGCCTAGTTGTCCATGCTTATTGCTGCTTCAGCTGCATAAACTGATTCTTCAGGTAGCCTATCATCAAGGGTAGATTTTCTTCAACTCTCATCCTTGAAAGATGATCAGCTACTCCATTATCTGCTCCTCTTCTATCCTTGATCTCAAGATCAAATTCTTGCAATAGTAGTATCCATCTCAACAATCTTGGCTTGGCATCTTTCTTGGATAAGAGATACCTTAATGCTGCATGATCAGAGTGAACTATAACTTTTGATCCCACCAAGTATGATCGAAATTTCTCAAATGCAAAGACAATAGCAAGAAGCTCCTTTTCTGTTGTGGCATACTTGCATTGTGCCTCATCAAGTGTTCTGCTGGCATAGTAGATCACATGTAGCTTCTTGTCTTTTCTTTGTCCAAGCACTGCTCCTACTGCATAATCACTTGCATCACACATTATCTCAAAAGGTAGTTCCCAGTTTGGAGGTTGAACCACTGGCGCACTGACCAATGCATCTTTGATCTTAGTGAAAGCCTTGTGACACTCCTCTGTGAACTCAAAGTTAATATCCTTGCATAATAGGCGTGTTAGCGGCCTTGCTATCTGTGAGAAATCTTTAATGAACCTCCTGTAGAACCAGCATGTCCTAGGAAGCTTCTGATATCTTTAACTGTCTTGGGCGGCTGAAGGTTTGTCATTACTTCAATCTTGGCCTTATCAACTTCTATGCCTCTCTCTGAGATTCTATGTCCAAGCACTATTCCATCTCTAACCATAAAGTGGCACTTCTCCCAATTTAGAACTAGGTGCTTGTCTTCACATCTCTGTAGCACTCTTCCAAGATTTCCCAAACATGATTCAAAGGAAGAACCATATACTGAGAAATCATCCATGAAAACCTCCATAATCTCTTCTATTAGATCTGTGAATATGGACATCATACACCTTTGGAATGTAGCTGGAGCATTGCACAATCCAAAAGGCATTCTCCTATAAGCATATGTGCCATAGGGACAAGTGAATGTAGTCTTCTCCTGATCATCTGGGTGGATTGGAATTTGGAAAAATCCTGAGTATCCATCCAAGAAACAGTAGTATTGATGATTGGCAAGGCGCTCAAGCATCTGATCTATGAATGGCAAGGGGTAGTGGTCCTTGCGTGTGGAGGAGTTCAGCTTCCTGTAGTCGACACACATTCTGTGTCCAGTGATTGTTCTTGTTGGAATGAGCTCATCATGTTCATTCTTGATGACTGTGATCCCTCCTTTCTTTGGCACGACATGTACAGGGCTGACCCATGCACTATCTGATATTGGATAAATCACTCCAGCTTTCAATAGCTTCATTATCTCCTTCTTGACAACTTCCTTCCTTTGATGTTATTCTAGACTCTCCTCCTGATGATGCATGCATAGTTCAGGTGAGATTCCTGTTAAATCATCCAAAGAGTAACCAAGAGCCTTTCTATGCTTTCTCAGTTCGCGAACAAGTAAAGCGGTCTCTTCTTTTGTTAGTGCAGCATTAACAATAACAGGATATGTTTCATTAGGACCAAGATATTCATACCTTAGACCAACTGGGAGTTGCTTGAGCTCGGCTTTTGGAGCTCTAAGTGGGCACCATGGGTCGAACTTAACCTTGGTTTGTGATACTTCCTGATCCTTGTCAATGTCTGGTTCTTCTTCTTCTCTCTCTAGGTCCATATAAGCTATTAGCTCCTTATATGCTTCCTTGGAATCCATGAACTTGACTAAGCATTGAACTTCTCTTTCCATGTATCCATACTCATTTTCAGCCTTTGTCAAGGCAAGCTCCAATGGGTCAATAAGAAGGAGTTCATCCAGCACTTCTTCTCTTGTCTCTGTAAGTTCTCCAATCCAAAAAGCTTGACCATCTACAGTTGGTTTCTCCATGGATTTGTTCACCTCGAAATTCATCACTGTATCTCCAAGATGCAAGTCAATCTTTCCATTCTTGACATCTATAATGGCTCTTGCAGTAGCTAGGAATGGCCTTCCCAAGATAAGAGGGTCCTTAGGTTGATGTTTGATGTAATTGCATTTTGCATAGTTTTAGTACATCTTTTATGCATCTTTTGCATAGTTTTAGCATCCATTAGCATCATATCTTGTTCCTTTTCTCTTCTTATGCATTCATGTAGTTTTAGGTTGCATTTGCATACATATGCATGTTTGGTCCTTTGAAATAGGTCTTTTGGAGCATTCTGGAGCATATGGGACATGAGGAGCATGGAGGGACTTGGGCATGGACGCAGCTCAACTGGATACGCAAAGGAAGAAGGAGGAAGCCATCTTGAAGACCAGCTCGACCATCCGGTCGAGTTCCTCAACTCGACCGGCCAAGCTTCAACTCGATCGAGCTGAGAAGTCAACAGTCAAACCCGAAAAATGTTGCTTCCCCCTTGACTTCCTTTGACCCTAAACCTAATCCTCTTGTATTTAAAGGCTCTAAGCCACGAAAAAACCACCAAGCTTTAGATTATTTTGTTTTAGTTTCTTTTAATTTATTGTCTTTTACTTTTTAGAGCTCTAATCCCATCTTTGTGTTCTTGAAGCTCTTGCTTCTTGAATCCTAGATCCTGGATAATCTCTTTGTATTTGCACTTGCTTATTTCAATAAAAGTTGTTTATCTTTCATCTCCTCTTTCTTATGATGTCTCTTTTATTGCATTTGCTTGTGTTTACATTCATGTGTAGTGAGTAGTTACCCATTAGGGTTTGAGATGGGATAGATTAGAGGTTTCATATGCTTAATCCTTCTTGCTTATGGTCTTAATCTAGATCTCTCTCTTTTGGATAATCTTAAGGCTACATGACCACTACCCCTGGCTTGTATGTCCTTAGGCGATTCTCCACATGGAAGTGATGGAAATCGCTGGAAAAGTCCACTAAGAGCTCCAATATCTCTTGCTCTCGAAATGGAGGTCTAAGGGGTTGGATGGATTAGTTTGGGCAATGATCCTATGGCCTCCAAGGCTTGATTCTCACTGGCTAACCCCCTGTTTCTGAGATCATTCCTTGGTTGATAGCTTTCACCTTGGGAAAGGGTTGGCTAGGCATTGAGAAGCCCAATATCAAGAGAAGCCTTGATACAAGGAGTTTTAAGAGCAAGATTGATTAAGTATAGATTCCTCTGATTGTAAAACCCTGTCTTGAACCCTAATTCTCGCATTAGCTTGTTAAAGTCGCTGCCTTTAGCTTTTTACTTCAACTCGACCCTAAACTCGATCGAGCTCGGTACTCTGTTCCACTCGACTCGAGTCCTTGGTCGAGCTGTTGCTCTACTGCTTTATTTACTTACTGCATTTCATTCTGTTTCATTTAGGTTGTTAGTGTTACCCCATATCATTACTGCTTGCTTGACTTCCTTGTTTCATATTCTCATAGAGTGACAAGTTTCCCATTTTGGATTGATAACCCTTTACTATAATGACTATGATGGTTAAAGGGAATTGTTGACTGTGTTTGTGTTTGCATCTTACCACCTCATCATATACCACTGTTGCATTCCACCACATTCATTTCATATCTTTCACATCCACACACAAATCCTATCATCAATTTGGCGCCGTTGCCGATTTGGGAATTTTTTGTTGCATTTGAGTTTCAAACACTTGGACGATCAAGCTATACCACCCCTGTTCTATTGTACTGCTGGGTTTTTGTCTCTTTTTGCAGGTGTATGCGAACTCGATCGAGTCGGTCTACAGAAGACTTGGTCGAGCTAGACTTACAACGGGTAGAAAGAGGGTTCAGAGGTCACAGAGGGTACAAGAGGAACCTGAGGTGCTTGTTGCTGATACAATGGATGTACCAGAGGGGAATGGAAACCCTTTGGGCAATGGACTCGGTCGAGCTAGGCAAACTCGACCGATTGGTCAAGGAGATGCTCCAAACCGCCACCAACAGAGACAAGGGATTGTTCCACCACCAGTGCAGAACCACAACTTTGAGATCAAGCTGGGAATGATCAACCTTGTTCAGAACAAGATGTTCCATGGATTGCCAAGTGAAGACCCCATTGACCACCTTGATGAGTTTGATAGGCTTTGTGATTTGACAAAGATCAATGGTGTCTCTGAAGATGCCATCAAGCTGAGACTCTTTCCTATGTCTCTAGCTGACAAAGCTCACCAATGGGAGAAGAGCTTGCCCCATGGCACAATCACCACTTGGGATGAATGCAAGAAGGCCTTTCTTGCTAAGTTTTTCTCCACCGGTCGCACAGCCAAGCTTAGAGGAGAGATATCCAGCTTCATCCAGCGAAACAATGAGACATTCGCAGAGGCTTGGGAGAGGTTCAAAGGCTACACAAGTCAGTGCCCACACCATGGATTCAACAATGAATCACTACTCTCCACTCTTTATAGAGGATGCTTGCCTAGGTATAGGGAGATGCTAGACACAGCTAGCAATGGGAACTTCCTCAACCAGGATGTAGATGATGGCTGGCAACTTGTGGAGAACATGGCCATACTCAATGGAAGCTATGGAGAATATGAAGTACAGACTGGAGCTCGACCGCCACTCGATCGAGCTGGAAGCACAGATGAGAAAAGACATGCTTGCACTGAACTCGAAGTTGGACAAACTGATCCTAGCCCAATTCCCTGCCAAGCATGTCAACTATGTCTCAGAACAAATAGTCAAGGAGGAAGGGGAGGACAACACAGAAGGATTATACAAGGAAGCTATAGGAACAACAAGGGACATACAGCTATCAACAACCCCTGGCCGCACCAACAACAAGTGTTCCACAAGGCTTCAACCAAAGGACTACTCATACCCAACCAACTCAAGATTGGGATATGAAGGAAATGCTCCAACAACTTTTACAAGGGCAAGCCAAAGGTTCACTGGAAATGAACAACAAGTTGGTTGAGATAACTCCAAACTAGAGTCATTGACTTCAAGAGTCAAATCATTGAGTCTTCAAGTGCATCATCCTCTTCACCACAAGAGTATGCCCAAGCAGTTACACTAAGAAGTGGGCGGCAATTTCCAAGCAGGGTAGCCCACCCCAAATCGCTGTGGACATCGATGACGAGGAAGGGGAGGATTTGGTCGAGTATGCTGATATCGACCAACTCGATCGAGCTGGAACAAAACCTGAACCAGAGCTCGATCGAGCTGAAGAAACCGAGACTCAGCAAGACAAACCAGAGCTCGATCGAGCCAGAAGAGACAGACAAAGCAAGCTCCAGCCAACCAGCTAAACCTGTTGCAAAGAAGAAAGACACTCCAGCAGGACCACCACCATACAAACCCCCTCTACCCTTTCCAGGAAGGTTCAAGAAACAACTGTTGGAAGCACACAAGGCCAAGTTTGATGAACTAATGAGACAGCTTGAGCTGAAGTTGCCTTTCATCGACGCCTTGATGCTCATTCCACCTTATCAGAAATTCCTGAAGGATGCTGTTCAGCAAAGAACCAGGGAAGCACAAGGGATGGTAGTGTTGACTCGTGAGTGCAGTGCAATCATTCAGCGGAAGGTCATCTCCGACAAAAAGGAAGATCCGGGGAGTTTCACTTTGCCCTGCATGTTGGGACCCCTATCTTTCAAAAACAGCCTCTGCGACCTAGGATCATCTGTCAGCCTCATGCCTTTGTCTGTAGCAAAGAGACTGGGATATCACAAGTATCAAGCCTGCGGAATCTCACTAGTCTTGGCAGATAGATCGATAAGGTTACCAACTGGAATGCTTGAAGACCTGCCTTTGAGATAGGGAATGTAGAAATCCCCACCGACTTCATTGTGCTTGAGATGGATGAGGAACCAACAGATCCATTGATACTAGGAAGGCCATTCCTAGCTACAGCAAGAGCAATGATAGATGTCTGTGAAGGCACAATTGAGCTAAACTTGGGAAAGGACCTAAGATGAAGTTTGACATCAAGGATACAATGAGGAAACCAACAATAGAAGGACAACTCTCAGTTGGAGGAGCCCCCTACAAGTTGCTTTGACCAAGGATTCTTCAGAAGGATATGTGAGCTCAGAAACCGATGGACAAGAAGCTCCTTGACACCTTCAGACCAGTTCCAAACATTCTGAGCATTGAGGGATTGGACAGGCCAGTTTGCGAAGTCATGGCAGTGAGCTCGATCAAGAGCTCGATCGAGTCGAGCCTCGAACAAACGAACTCGATCGAGCTGGGGACTGAATGCAAGGAGCAAGCTCAAGGAGATTGGTCTGAGCTCAAGGCGCCTAAAGTCGACCTCAAACCTTTGCCTGAGGGCCTCAGGTATGCATTTCTGGGTGAAAACTCAACTTACCCTGTCATTGTGAACTCTGATTTGGAACCTGAACAGTTGAGTGCTTTGCTTGTTGAATTGAGGAAGTACAGAAAAGCAATAGGTTACACTCTAGATGATATCAAGGGGATCTCCCCTGACCTATGCATCCATAGGATTCATCTAGAGGATGAAAGTAAGTCAAGCATTGAACCTCAAAGGAGATTGAACCCCAATCTAAAGGAAGTAGTGAAGAAAGAGATACTCAAGTTGCTTGATGCTGGGATAATCTATCCCATCAGTGATAGCACTTGGATATCTCCAGTTCATTGCGTCCCAAAGAAAGGGGGGATCACTGTCATAAAAATGACAAAGAGGAGCTGATTCCCACTAGAACAATAGTGGGGCATCGCATGTGTATTGACTATAGGAAGCTAAATTCAGCATCTAGAAAGGATCATTTCCCTCTCCCTTTCATTGATCAGATGTTAGAAAGATTAGCAAACCACCCTTTTTATTGTTTTCTTGATGGTTACAGTGGTTTCTTCCAAATCCCGATCCACCCTAATGATCAGGAGAAGACCACTTTCACATGCCCTTATGGTACCTTTGCTTATCGAAGGATGCCATTTGGGCTGTGCAATGCCCAGCTACTTTCCAGAGATGCATGACCTCCATTTTTTCAGATCTGATAGAGGAGATGGTAGAAGTCTTCATGGACGATTTCTCAGTCTATGGAGCATCCTTCTCCTCATGTTTGTCTAACTTGTGCAGGGTGTTGCAGAGGTGTGAGGAGACAATCTAGTACTCAACTGGGAGAAGTGCCACTTCATGGTTCGAGAAGGGATTGTGCTTGGACACAAGATTTCCGAGAAAGGGATCGAGCTCGATCGAGCTAAGGTGGATGTCATGTTGCAGCTCCCTGTTCCCAAGACTGTGAAGGACATAAGGAGTTTTCTGGGTCATGCAGGGTTCTACAGAAGATTCATCAAGGATTTCTCAAAGATAGCAAGACCCTTGACAAGGCTTCTGTGCAAGGAGACAGATTTTGAGTTTGATGAAGAATGCCACAAGTCTTGGACCTTGCTGAAGGATGCTCTGCAAGTGCACAGGTTATGATCGCGGGATCAGGTCTTCCCCTTTCCTATCCCTGATTCTGCAAGTGCACAGGTCAGAAGTAGTAAACGGGTATCGAACACAAGGACCAGATTGCACACTACAAGTTATGAGTTTGAGAACAAGCTAGGGCAAAAGTATAAGTTGGTTGAGTGCAGAGAAAGTAAAGCATGCAAGTAATAAAAGTGAGAATTCAATAGGAGAGAAAGGCTAAGCAATAGGATAGTCTTGAGATAAGCAATTCAAGAAGCATGAAATCAATCAATTAGGGTTACCGCACTTAGGTGCTAATCTAGAACTTGAAACACTATGGTATGATCATTCCACTGTCGAGGCTCCGACCCCTTTGTTAATCTACCTAGTCGCTAAACTTTTGGTATGTCCCTAGGTGATTAAATCAAGCATTAGTTCGATCAAGATCAATTGTTCACAACCTACAAGTAGATCAACTGTCGCAGTCTAAAAGAGATTGCCCACCAAATACTAGTTCAGGCGAATGATACAGCACTGTCGAGGCTCAAATCAACCTAAAGGCATATGCTAATTGGCCAGATTAACAACAAGCATTAAGTATAAGCAAAGATGGAGATTATAAGTAAAACCCTAATTGTGATCAATCATCAAGCATACATGAATGCTATCCTTTGACTTCCTATCACTTAACAAGTAAACTACTCAGACATAGAGAAGGAAATCGAATTCATATTCATAAGAACAGAGATTCGAATCCTCTCTAGAAAGAGTAACAAGCAAGAACAAAGTAAAAGCAAGCAAAACTTTATTAAGATGTAAAATAGATTGTGGTCTCTCTCCTTCTTGAGTTACAAGGCTAAAAAGAAGTATTTATAATGCTCTAAGTATAAGAAGACGGCTAAACCTAATCTAGCTAGGTCGGCGCCGGCTTTGGGCTTGAATTGTGCGGATTGGGCTTCAAAAACGGCTTCGGGTCGACCGCGGCGTTCGGACGGTCGTCGGGACGGTCGGCCGGACAGTCGGGTCTTTGGCCGAGTCGGAACGGTCGGGGCCGGATGTTTCATGGTCGGCCGGCGGTCGGACGGATGGATTTGGCCGATGGTTTCTTCGGCCGGACGCGGGACGTTCTTCCCGGCTCGGACGGATGCATCGGCCGTGGTACGCGGAACGGGTTGCGCGGCCGCGAGGCTTTGTTCCCGGCTCGCGCGCTTGGTCGTGCGCGGCGTGGCGTGGCGTTGTGGCTTGGCCGACCGCGGGCAATGTTTCCCGGGTCGTGATGTGTGATCGGCCGAGTGGTTGGACTTTGGCCGAGACTTCAGTCGGACGGAATACGGTTTTGGCCGAGCGCGGAACATTCGTTCCTCGGCCAGCCGGACTGCGCGTTCGGCGCTGATTCTCGATATAGCCGTCTGGAGCAGTCTTCACTCTTTTGGCTATAACTCCTTTTCTACTCATCCAAATGAGGCCGTTCCAGTTGCGTTGGAAAGTTAACTCAATCAGAGCACGCAGGGAACTGGTCTTGATGAAATCCATTGAGTAGATCTTTTTCTAGCTCCATCCAAAGTTGATGCAGGGGCATTGAACTGGTTTAGAGTCCAAATCTCTGTTTTGCTCCATAATGCACCTTTTTACCTAAAATGACTCTTTGCACTATAAATCCATAAAAACTACCTTTTAACACAAGAATCCACTAGAAAACCATTAGAAAACCATAGTAAAATAGCATAAAAAGTAGGTAAAATAGAGGTATATCAGATTACCCATTTGAGATTATGTGTGATGCATCTGACTATGCAGTAGGAGCAGTGCTTGGCCAAAAGATAGACAAGAAACTCAATGTCATCTACTATGCAAGCAAGACTATGGATGATGCTCAATGCAAGTATGCAACCACAGAGAAGGAGCTCCTTGCCATCGTCTTTGCCTTTGAGAAATTTCGAAGCTATATAGTTGGGTCCAAGGTGATTGTGCACACTGACCATGCTGCCCTTAGGCACATCTTTGCTAAGAAAGATACAAAGCCAAGACTTCTCAGATGGATCCTTTTGCTTCAAGAGTTTGACATAGAAGTTGTGGACAAAAAGGGAGTGGAGAATGGAGTTGCTGATCATCTCTCTAGGATGCGAGTTGAAGACATAGTCCCCATCAATGATTCTATGCCTGAAGAACAGCTTATGGCAATCATGATCTTGAAAGAGAGTTTTGATGAGAAAGTCAGGCTGGAAGAAGTTAAGGCTCTGCGTGATGAGAATTTGCCATGGTATGCTGATATAGTGAACTTCATGGTGTCTGGAGAAGTCCCTAGTAGTTTTGATGCTTACAAGAGGAAGAAATTCTTCAAGGATGCTAGGCACTACTATTGGGATGAGCCTTACTTGTACAAGAGAGGACCAGATAGCATTTACAGGAGATGCATAGCTGAAGAAGATGTACAAGGAGTTCTTGAGCAATGCCATGGGTCTGCTTATGGAGGTCACTTTGCTACATTCAAAACCGCAACTAAGGTTTTGCAATCTGGTTTATGGTGGCCTACTTGTTCAAGGATGCAGCAAGTTACATTGCCAAGTGTGATCCATGCCAAAGGAAAGGAGGAATCACCAAGAGGGATGAAATGCCACTAACCCAATTCTAGAAGTTGAGATCTTTGATGTATGGGGAATAGACTTCATGGGACCTTTCAAGCCTCCTCAAACGGGCACAACTACATTTTGGTTGCTGTGGACTATGTGTCCAAATGGATTGAAGCCATCCCCTGCCCAGCCTGTGATGCTAAGGTTGTTATCAAACTGTTCAGAACCATCATCTTTCCAAGATATGGCATCCCAAGGGTTGTTATTTCGGATGGAGGTTCCCATTTCATCAACAAGGTGTTTGAGAAGTTGATGAAGAGTTATGGAGTCAAGCATAAGGTTGCTACGCCCTATCACCCTCAAACCAGTGGGCAAGTTGAAGTCTCCAACAGACAGATTAAGGCTATATTGGAGAAGACTGTGAGCTTCACTAGAAAGGATTGGTCAACAAGACTTGATGAAGCACTTTGGGCTTATAGAACAGCTTACAAAACCCCATTGGAAGGTCTCCTTTCAATCTTGCTATATGGGAAAGGATTGCCACTTGCCTGTGGAGGTCGAATACAAGGCTTTATGGGCAGTAAAGATGCTGAACTTTGACATAAAGGCAGCACAAGAAAGGAGGGTAATGAACTTGTTTGAGTTGGAGGAAATCAGAATGAATGCCTATGAGAACTCCATGATCTACAAGATGAGAACCAAGGCAGCCCACGACAAACTGATTCGCCTAAAAGACTTCAAGGTGGGGACAGTGTGCTCTTGTTAACTCCAAACTGCGGTTGTTTCCCGGGAAGTTGAGGTCAAAGTGGTCGGGCCATTCAAGATACATGAAGTTCTACCTTACGGGTCACTCACTCTGCTTGATGTACTTGCATTTTGCATGGTTTTAGTATATCTTTTATGCATCTTTTGCATAGTTTTATCATCCATTAGCATCATATCTTGTTTCTTTTCTCTTCTTATGCATTCATAGTAGTTTTAGGTTGCATTTGCATACATATGCATGTTTGGTCCTTTGAAATAGGTCTTTTGGAGCATTCTGGAGCATATGGGACGTGAGGAGCATGGAATGACTTGGTGCATGGACGCAGCTCAACTGGATACGGAAAGGAAGAAGGAGGTAGCCATCTTGAAACCCAGCTCGACCGGCCAAGCTTCAACTCGATCGAGCTGGGAAGTCAAAGTCAAACCCGAAAAATGTTGCTTCCCCCTTGACTTGTCTTTGACCCTAAACATAAATCCTCTAGTATTTTAAGGCTAAAAGCCACGAAAAAACCACCAAGCTTTAGATTACTTTTTGTTTTAGTTTCTTTTTAATGATTGTCTTTTACTTTTTAGAGCTCTAATCCCATCTTTGTGTTCTTGAAGCTCTTGCTTCTTGAATCCTAGATCCTGGATAATCTCTTTTGTATTTGCACTTGCTTATTTCAATAAAAGTTGTTTATCTTTTGTCTCTTATTGCATTTGCTTGTGTTTATTTCATCATGTGTAGTGAGTAGTTACCCATTAGGGTTTGAGATGGGATAGATTAGGGATTTTATGCTTAATCCTTCTAGCTTATGGTCTTAATCTAGAAATTCTCTCTCTTTTGGAAATCTTAAGGCTACATGACCACTACCCCTGGCTTGTATGTCCATTAGGCGATTCTCCACATGGAAGTGATGGAAATCGCTGGAAAAGATCCACTAAGAGCTCCAATACTCTTGCTCTAGAAATGGAGGTCTAAGGGGTTGGATGGATTAGTTTGGGCAATGATCCTATGGCCTCCAAGGCTTGATTCTCACTGGCTAACCCCCTGTTTCTGAGATCATTCCTTGGTTGATAGCTTTCACCTTGGGAAAGGGTTAGCTAGGCATTGAGAAGCTCAATATCAAGAGAAGCCTTGATACAAAGTTGTTTAAGAGCAAGATTGATTAAGTATAGTTCCTCTGATTGTAAACCCTGTCTTAGACCCTAATTCTCGCATTAGCTTGTTAAAGTCGCTGTCACCTTTATTGCTTTTCTCAACTCGTCCCTAAACTCGATCGAGCTGGTACTCTGTTCCACTCGACTCGAGTCCTTGGTCGAGCTGTTGCTCTACTGCTTTATTTACTTTACTGCATTGCTTTCTTTTCATTTAGGTTGTTAGTGTTACCATATCTATTACTGCTTGCTTGACTTCCTTGTGTTTCATATTCTCAGAGTGACAAGTTTCCCATTTTGGATTGATACCCTTTATGCTATAACGACTATGATGGTTAAAGGGAATTGTTGACTGTGTTTGTGTTTGCATCTTACCACCTCATCATATACCACTGTTGCATTCCACCACATCTCATTTCATATCTTTCAACCCACACACAAATCCTATCATCACTGCTCAACCAAGAGCGGAAAGAATTCACAGTAAATGGGCATAGATGCAAGCCCTACCTAGGAATGACCCCCACTGAGGAGATCATCACTCCTCTTCAAGATCCAACCCCGGCCTAAAAGGTTTAAGGTCAAGCTATGAGACCTAAAACAAGCTCACTTGGGAGGAATTTCCATGTTTATCCTGTAAATATCGCTTTTATTTTTTGTCTCTGCGTTTTTCTCAGCTAAGTCTTGCAGGAACAGGTTTTTACGAAGGAAAGGCAACCAACTCGATGCACAACTCGATCGAGCCAAGAGCAAGCTCGACCGAGCTTCACGAACTCGGCCGAGTGGAGCGTCCCTGACGGCCGCTTGCCCTCTCCTGACCACGACCTTGCCTCCCAGATCTTTGGGGGGCACTAAGGTATCAAACACCAACCATTGTACATACCATTTCATGTTTTCTCT